ACTATTAGCTAATTGGATTTAGTTTGCATCTACCTAACTTATCTCACTCAGCACTCATTGTGCCCCGTAAGCAACTGAAAGTAAAGACGATCAAAAATGTTTAGGTTGAACCAATTGTGAAAAAACTCGCGGCGTTCTGCGGGATTTGAATCCACATAGTAGAGAAGGTCTTTGCGCGAATCCAATGCTTTCCGAGTTTAGCTACAAACGCCACGCCTGCACCTTGAATTTAATCACACTTGGATCGATTTTACTCGCCCAACCTTACCGCTTGTATGGAATCCACCATTACAGAACAGCAAGTTGACTACCCAAGCAGGATTTCCTAAGGAATCATATCGAATCCACCAGAATGATTACTAGACTGACTTATTATTTAGGAGGTTTGGCAGATTTTCTGAATTTAAGTTGACCCAATTGTGAAAAAACTCGCGGCGTTCGGCGGGATTTGAACCCGTAGAGAAGGCATAGTGGCAACCAAACCCCACCGCAATTCCTAAACCAGGCTGCAGCATGGGGATTCCAAAGCCCAGTCAAGGTAGGTCTGTCAGGAAGGCCATGTTAACATAGAGATAATCATTGCAGTCTGACAATCTGGTAAGAGTTGAAGTAAGTAGAAATTTATATTCGAAATATAAACGACAAACATTAATGTTGATTCTGATTGTTAATCAGTGCCTATGAGGGGAGGAATCATGCCCTAGCAGCACCAAATCTGATTTATAGAGCAAATGAACACACAGTTTGCCTTAAATAACTTTGACAAAACGCAGCGCTCAACCAGAACCTGTAGAATTTTTAGTCCGAAACCGAAAGTATTGTACCCCCCCACAGAATCCGAAATTCCCTCCCTATAGTTGTAACAACACTACTGGATTAATACATATCGTAAGTGTTGCGGCTGCGATTATGACTGATGTAGCCGGCCTCGATGATGTCCCGGAGGACTGTACTTCTCCACGCGCGAAGATTCGTGGCAGCAGACCTCGACATATTATCTTCGCCAGCGCTGGAGAACGTATACCGAAGGTCCAAGAACCCCTTCCCCATCCTGATAGACAGAGTAGAGCCAGGTTTTCGGGTGACCCTCTCTTTGACGTTTCCAATTAAGTAACGGTTTCGGGTCGAGAATGCTAAGCCTGAGCTTGTGAGGTTGACGACGAAGAACGTGTCCAGACCACCTCAGCCCTTTTCGTGGCTGGCCTGGGATATACTTTCGATGTTGTCGTAGCGAGTACCGGCTGTCTCATTTGAGTCGAAGTCGGTGACCTTCACTCGAAGGATGGTCCTCAAGCAGTAGGGATAAGATAGCTCCAGTTTTATTTCGCCTTCCACGTGCATAGTCCAGCATTCGCAGCCGTATAGAAGAACAGACCGCATCAGTGTACGGTACACGCGAAGCTTCATGGTAATAGAAATATCGCGTCGGGTCCATAGGCACTTTCGAAGGCTGGAGAAAAC